GAGAGAGAGAGAGAGAGAGAGAGAGAGAGAGAGAGAGAGAGAGAGAGAGAGATGGTAAAAATTTTTTTTGGATTGCAGTTTCAGAGGTTTCTGTCCATAGCTGCTTTGCTCCATGGCACTGGGGCTCCTGTGAGGCAGTACACTGCTGTGACAATGCCTGGCCCTGGAAGCAGGCACCTCAGGGCCGCTGGCAAGCAAAAAGAGAGGTAGGGGCGGGGCCTGAGTCTCACCATCCTCCAATGAGCTCATTTTCTTTCCCTAAGCCCCGCCTCCTAAATGCTCCACCGCCTCCCAGTATTGCCGCAAGCTGAGAAACGGGTTTGTGTACACGGCCTTCTCAGGACCCTTACGTGTGCCACAGCAGCTCCTTATTGTGGTTGTTCATAATTTCAATCACACGTTTGTATAACCATCCTTCAAATATTAAAAAACATGTGATTTTAGCAATTGCAGTATGAATGGAACTGAAGAGAATCTGTACAGAGATTCTCTTGGTCTTGCACCTTTTAGTTCCTCACACATATCGTGGGACGCAGGCCTCTTGGTTCCCGGGAGCGCTGAGGAGACGCGCGGGATTGAGCGGCGCGGGATTGAGCGGACGGTGGTCCTCTCTTCAGGGGCCCAGCCAGCCCCGTGGCGGGGAGTTAGCGCTTCTCAAAAGCACAGCCAGAGTGGGAATTCTAAGGCTGGAAAATATATTTGGGACAAAAATATAAACCTGAGTAATAGCTACAAAAAGTGGTGTATAATCATTTGATTCTTGACAAGGGAAAAGACAGCCTCTTCAGCAAACGGTGCTGGGAAAACTGGACATCCATGTGTAAAAGACTGAAACTAGATGCCTATTCTAGTGATGTACAGAAATCAATTCAAAATGGATTGAAGACCTAGATATAAGACCTGAAACTTTGGAACAAGAAAAAAAGAAAGAAAGAAAGAAAGAAAGAAAGAAAAAAAGAAAGAAAGAAAGAAAAAGAAAAAACTCTGGAAGCGCTAGGCACAGGCAAAGACTCCCTTAATAAGACTCCAATAGCACAGGAAATAATAGCAATAATCAACAAACAAGAATGTACCAAGTTAAAAAGCTTCAGCCCAGCATAGAAAGCAACTAATAGAATAAAGAGATAGACTACAGAAAGGGAGAAAAGCTACTTTTTTATCAGAGGGTAAATCTCTAGAATATATAAAGAACTCAAAAAACTAAACACAAAAAAATTAAATAGTCCAATCAATAAATAGAGAAATGAATACTGAAAGCAATAAATTCTGGCAGGCATTCTACACTGCTGGCGGGATGCCGATGGTGGTTCTTGACAATCATAAACCTTAACAGGGGAAAAAAATGTACATGGGATACTAGGAAAGCAGATAACGCGCAAGATCACACAATAAGACAGATGAGCACAATCACGTTTGCCTGAAGACTTTCCATGTCAGTCATTTTTGAGTACTAAAAAATGATGATGAAAACAACTGCCTGCATTTTCTAGGGATCATCTAAGAGAATAACATTGCAGTTATTTATATTTTATTATCCTTTCAGTAAATATTGATGTCTGCCCTGTATCAGGCTCCATTTTGGGTTGGAGAGATAGGCTGAGTTTTGTCTTTTGGAAATTATTAGATTGTAAAGTCCATTTATTCTCTCCAAGTATCAGTAAAATTTTATGTCCCTCTGGACAGAAGAGGTTTTTTTTTGTTTGTTTTTTTGGGTTTTTTTCAGAACCAGGAATTGAACTCAGGTTATAACTCGCACTTATTCCACTGAGCCATCGCCCCAGCCCGGGTTTTGTATTTTTCTGGTAGTTTTTTCTTTGTTTTGGGACAGGGTCTCACTATAGTCTAGGCTGGCCTTCAAGTATATAGTCCAGGTTAGCCTCAAACTTGTGATTCTCTTGCCTCTGTCTGCTGAGTGCTGGGATTATAAGCATGCACCACTGTGCCTGGCTTGTACTTTCCTTTTTTTTTTTTGCCAAGTTTTCTGCAGTGAACATGTCTTTCTTTTTAAAGTTAGGGTTGGTGCACGCCTGTAATCCCAGCACTCAGGAGGCTGACACAGGAGGATCGCTGAAGGCTTGAGATCAGCAGTTGGTGCCTATGGCTAGGCCAGACCAGTGATCACAGGAGCCAGACCGTGAACTGGCTCAAGGGAGAAGGTTTTACCAAAACTCAGAGAAGTAAAAGGATAGTGCAGCAAGCTCTTCACACAATTTAAAATATCTTCTTTTATGCACAGTTAAAATCTACTGTTTTGGAATGTAGTTAATATTTGACAAAAGTGAACACTGGAGGCCTAATAGCTATCCCTTTAAAACAAATTTTTTTAAACTTTAGTGACTCATGAAATCCCAGAATGTGGAGACACTTGGCCTGGATAACTTTGAAATATATCATAATTGTAGGGAAACATATATGCTTTGATGGAAAACCATATATTGTCTAGACAAGGCTGCATTTTTAAAAAAAAAAAACAATATGTATTTGGAACACTCTTGCTACACAGCTCAGACTCCTGGTGATCCTCCTATTTCAGCCCCCTACCCCAGCACTGGGATTACAGGAGTGTGCCACCATGCCTGGTTCCAGCGGTTGGCTCAGCGGGCCCAGGGCAGAGGCAGCACAGCATGTGGTACTATGGATTGAACCCGGGTCCTTGA